GAGTTCCATCTGCCAGACATTCTGCTATATACGCCAGAAGGACTTCTCTAGGTTCATCAGCAGAGAACAGAGGAAAATCATCAACTGGAATTCTCCTTTTACAAACATCAGCAGATTTTATCTTGGATGGGGCAGATGCCAATTTCTCAATCAATCTCATCTTGACTAGGTTTTTACCATTCAGAGGGCTTCCATGAATAGCCTCTAACTCTGCTGTTTGTCCTGCTTCTGTTAAATGTGCAACTAAACCATTCTTAGTCAGAATGTTTGAGATTAGTCTCCCCATAGGAATCCAGTTTCTGAATTTCTTAATTTTAGACCTTAAAACTTCTCTGGTTTGCTTGATCTGATTCCACAGATGATTAAACAAAACATAGGGTAAATCCACCTTGGTTCCTTTTCTAAAACAGTACATGAAATAGCAGTGATCAACATTCACATAATCTGGTGAGTTGGATGCTTTCCTATGATGGATGCAACTTAGGAAAATCTTGGCCCAGATTTTGTAAACGGTCTTCAAATTCTTCATTCGGCTAGATGATTGTTCAGATTTCATAATTTCAGTAAACATTTCTTCCATATTTACATGATCAACCTGAAGATGTGTAACTCCATCTGTTTCTGCGTATCCAATTAATTTCCTTATCAAATTTTCAGAAATGATAATTTCTTTGCCAAGAACAGACGATACAATGTACTTGGGATAGAGAACTGCATGAATCCAGAATTTCTTGACCAGATGAGGATAAACAAGTCCAACCAAACGATCAAAGTACCTAAACCATCATTGAGCTTTCACTGTTGGACGAAGATCAAAACCATTTTTGGCAATGCACTCAAAATCCACTAACGATTCACAGAGAACTTCCAAATCTTCAACTGGAGTAAGAAGGGTTCTTACAGGTTCCTTGTATCCAGTTGTACTCACGACGGATGAACTGATAGCAGCCATTGTTGATTGAAGTTAAGAAGACGTTGATGAGGATGAAGCCATAGTGGATGAACTTGGAAATGAAAAGGTTTTCTGGGTTTTGGGCTTGAGAGAGAAGAGGAAATCGTGTAGAAGGCAAAAATGCATATGTTGGTGATAGTGAGCGTAAACAGTGTGCAATTGATGAGATGTGGAATATATATATATGGGCAACAATTAGGGCACAGAACACTCAAACATCATTTAGCATTTAATGTCATTTAATTAACACATTTAACAAGATAAACAATGATGAAATGCATTTAATGGTACTGAAAAACGTGAGAATTTAAATCAATTTGAATAGTACCTATGAACGGCGCATCTTTTTGTGCACTTCAATCGTTTCCATCAGTCAGAAGATAAATGACACGTGGTTGAAGACTTTGTGCCACTGACGCTTTTGAGAATGTGAGACGTTTAAACCATGCTCAGATCTTCTGAAGGAGTTCCATCTTCTTTAAGCTTCAGATCTTCTGATGAAATTCTCTTTCTTCCCTTATCAGAATAATCTTCAGATCTTCTGATGAGGTTCTAGATTTAGCATCAGATCTATGCAGTTTGGCTCTGGCGAGTGTTTCAGAAAACTTGTCATCCAGAGGAACGCTTTAGATCAGATCAGATCTTCGTTCTTCAGATGTTCTTGTTATCCATAAACAATCTTTGTTGCAGACGTTTCAGAGCCATGTATAATCTGATTCTCAGAGTTTCTTGTCACAAAAGAATATGTCTTCTAGGTAGTTAAGAACCTTCTTGATAGACTTCTGATGACTTCTCCTTCTATCTGTTAATCATCTCTTCTAGGTGAGAAGATTTGATTTAGGAGAAGCTCTTCAGAGATAGTTTTCCAAAAGAAGCTAACAGAATGACATCTGGATTTGCTTCTGAAAGGAATGTTAACTGACTTATTCATGAATAACCCCAGTAACTTAAATTCCTTCAGGAAACAGATTGAATGACTTCTGTCACTGAATCTTCTTGACATTTTGACTTCAGTATTCAATCCTCATTACCTTTTAAGAAAGGATATCAGAAAAACATCTGACCAATTACAGTTTGTTCAACTGAGATAAAATCTCAATTTAATAGAACTTAATTGTTCATGCAGCATCTAATACAAACTCAGAGTTATTAAACTTCTTTACATGTGCATGCTTTAATCTGAAATTCTTATGAGTCAAATTCTCTTAGCCAACAAAATTTCTTTACTTACTAAAGAGAAATTCCCAATGAGCTTTTCATGAGAAAGTCAAGTGTGGACTAATCCGTTTCTTGAAAACATCTCATACTCACCTGGAATTAATCTTCAGCAAACAGGATTTTTTGCTACTTATGATTTGACCTTTGAGCTAATACAATGTACATCCAAACGTATTTTATGAAGCATTCAACAGAAAAACTTCTTTTCTGATGAATCTTTCTTGTCAGCTGATTCTTCAATCTTCTTTCAATCTCTAGAGGAGAATATTTTGTTGTTGAAAACTTTCAATACTTCAAACTTCAGTGAATCACTGACTTGCTCACAAAAACCTATTAAATACAATTTTAGTACTCATCTCCGTCAAAAACTGATATGAGACTGAAATTGTAAGAGGAGTGAAAAATCCCCATGAGTATTTCTTCACATGCTTTCGGATCTTTATCTGACACTGTTAGGTGTTTGATATCCATCAATAACAGAACCGGAGCTCTAATACCAACTGAAGGTATGAAAAATACACAAGAAAGGGGGGTTTTGAATTGGGTATTCTCTCTACTGAAACTTTTAAACTATTTCTTTTAAGTTGCTTTCTATAGTTTTCTTTTCTTTGCGTTATGGAAGCATATAAAACATGATATAAGATAATAACACAAGATATATCCTGGTTCACTTGAGCAACCCTCAAGCTAATCCAGTCCACCCTTCCAAGGTGATTTCGCCTCACTCACGCAAGGACTTAATCCACTATAACCAAACTGATTACAGATATGCACAAGCTAACTGCAAGTGACTAACAAATGGACAATGATACGTTCAGGGATCCCTTAAGGATATAACGTTCATTGATCCCACAAATGACAACTGTCACTTATCATCTCAAGTATACTGATCTTCACAAGATCACTTGAGGGACCACTAATTCTAAAAATAGAATTTGTGTTGCAGGAGATTACATGAGTGCTTCTTGATAAGTAGGTTACTCCTAATTTAGTGCAGAGCAAGTATTGAGCAACAGCTCCTTGCATTCTAATATAGAAACTAATCTAAGGATGAATCTCAAGGAGATTATTAAAAACAGTAGTTTCCATATTGCTTAAAAGCATTCATAGGTGATCACTGCGGCTTCTTAGCATAAAAGTTTTCCTTTGGTTATGCATACTGATTATAGCAAAGCAGCAGCAACAACATCAACTGCAACCATGGCAGCGTCCCCCGTTGAATGACTCAAATGTTCCTCTTTTATAGTGTATCCAAGAGATACGTTGAGAGGGCAGAGATGTCCATTCAAATATTTCAACTGTCATGTCTCCAACGGATAGAATAGTCACGTGTTGGAAAGTATAGTGACATCACTTACTTTGTCTTTTGTACAGATCAGCTTCTGGCTTAGCTTCTTCTGATGATGTATCTGATGAGTAGTTCAGAAACTACTTTGATATGATAGTGTAATAACATCAGAGTCTTACTTCAGAACTTGTTTACCAGAGTTTATTAATACGTCTTCATCTGGGTGTTGCTACATAATCTTCAACTTCAGAATCTAGTCTTCAGAGTCTTCAGAACTTAATTCTTCAAAAGATTATTTCTTCAGAGTCTTGATCTTCAGAACCCTTAAGTCTTCAGAGTCTTTTTGCACTTGGTCTTCAGAGCTTCAAGTCATCAAAGTCTTCAGAGCTTGGTTCTTCAGAGGACTACATCTCAGATGCATTGATAGCTTCCAGATCAAATACACTTTTCAGAACAGAATCCACAAGAGCATTGCAACAACAATATACCGCATCTTTGAATCTTTCTGATTATGATCAGATACAGTGGCAAACTGTTTCTTGAGTTGGCGCTTTAAATTCTTTATCCAGAATATCACATGGTACTTCACTCAGAGTTTCACTTTGTTCTTCGTTCAGAGTTTCCTTAAGAGCTATGCTATAAGTCACATCACACAAAGTAACTTCATATTGGCTTTCATGCACTTCTTGATATTGTTTGTTGATTTGATATATTTATTTAATGATCTGCGCACAATATTAGAACATAAAATGATTCTTTCATAAATATTTAATTGTTATCATCAAAACATAGAGATAACATGTAGAGACAAATCTTGCTCTTACAAAAAGGTCTAAAAAAATTATTATGTATTCCAATTTTTTCGCTGCAATATGATTGAAGTACCGATTCATTCTCATTGCAAGGATAATTTGTTGTTATTTGATGGGTGTTCTATCACTCATTTGTGTAAGGATAATTTGTTGTTATTTGGTGGGTGTTCTATCACTCATTTGGGTAAGGATAATTTGTTGTTATTTGGTGAGTGTTCTATCACTCATTTGCACTTGCCTGTAATGTTGAAAATGCAATTGAAATACTGTTATTTGGTGGTTGATGTTTATCACTCATTTGCACTTGTATGTAATGTTGAAAATGCAATCGAAATACTTCATGAAGTGAAACAAGACACAACCAAACCAATTAGATTCAAGAAAGAAAATATGTATAAATATTGTTCTCAATGTCCATTTGAGTACATTTGTGTTGTACAGATTCATTTAAACCCGTGCAAACGCATTCTTCTGTACAAATTTATTTTAACTAGTTTTGCTATATAAATTGATACAAACCATCAGAATTTACACGGATTGTTTTCCTTTTGTTATGTACATTGAAAGTTGGACTAATCTAACATTACTCAAGTTAGCTGAATGAAACAACCCAAATATGGAGAATCCTTCTAATGTACATTCTTTCATATATTACATAGATTTATAAGGAAATCCCATCCCAACATGTGATATGTATAATCATGTATGTAGTAAGAAATCAAATGAAGTATTATATTTGCATAATCCTTTTAGCTTTGGTTGAGAAGTTTCTGACCTTGACTTTGTCAGAGAAAGTCAAAGGAGCATCTTCTTCGACAGTGTCTCTTGGGTCATACCAACCAGTAGAACTACTCTCATGTTTAGAGCTTCCAGTGTTATATACAGTTGTCGAATTGGGGTCTTCTGGTATATCTCGATACAGGTGTTTCAATATAAAAAGAGCAGTATCATAGTCTCGCCAATAGTTCCTGTTTACCATATAGAGAATGGAATCACCTCAGTTGAGTCCTAAAAATAAAACCATTTAAATATGATCTAATAATAAGATGACTACTGATAATTTGATATTCAAAACTTACGTGTGTGATCCAAGGGCTTGCAGATATGGATGCTCAAATGTCTTATCCTGCATTCATAGACACAAATACAAAATCATTACATCACTTTGAGCACCAAAAGTTTTATGACTCTGTCATGTGTGTTCTCATTTTGCACAATACTTACAACACCAAAGTATTTTAATGAGATAGGTAATGAAAAATAATAACTTCATACCTGAAGCATGTGATCAACTCGTCCAGTTTTGCTTCCCGTCAACCTCTCCATCATTAAAGATCCATATGATGTCTCTTCCTCCTCGGCAATACTCTCTCCTAAAATGCAGATAGGTGGGAATGTGAACAAAAATATGAGGGAACAAATGTCCATTTGTGTGGTAGGATTAATTACGAAAAATTAATAATTTAACTACCAAAAGACCATTAAAGTTGAAAAACGCCATCAAACATAACCATTTTTTTATTGATATCTTATATATCATACACATTTTTAAATCAAACCATAGATGCGCCAAAACACACACAAATATACCTCTCCAAACTTTCATCTCATGTATCAAACATGTCTTGAACATTGACACTTGTCTTAGACACCGACACTTCTAGAACTGTCTTGAACACTTCATTGAAATGTAAAGGCATATGTGTCTGATACTCAGTTATTATAAGACTTTACTACTTGTTTTGAGACATTATTTATTATCTTATCCACGGATTATTTTTATAAAGACTTCATGGTAAAATGGTCTTTATTTGTAGTATTCTTAATTTGAGGATCATTATCATGTAAAAATTGTAAAGCTTAACAACTTATTTATAGAAGGTGAACATCTATATTCTATTTTTAATTCAGATTTTTGTCATGCTGATCACACATGCAACCCACGAAGATGCCCTAATATATGTGTGTAAGTGTGTGGGTGCGCAAGCGTGCAGTGTCCTATATTTTGGATACTACCCGTTTAATAGTGATGTGTCTACGTCGAAGCCGGTGTTTCATAGATTAAGAGCAAAATCCAAATAAAAGATAAGAGGCAAGCAATAAGATTTGATTGCATGAGATGAATATAGCGTTATAAACTGAGCTCGTCTAACAATGCTGTCAAAGAGTTAGTCTGGGAATTGGAAAGCATGCCATATGCAAAACTAAGTTTGGTACTATACTACTATTCTTATGGATAATATGTAACCAAGCCCTAATTCCAAGAGGATTGGTCAGTTATAGTAGTTATTATTTTGTCCGAAGCAGTTTGCGTATTCTGTCCATTTGTGTAATCGCTTTGCTGGAAGTTATTCTGCAGTTTGTGTTTGTAATAACCATCCGTATTCATCCATTCATTCTATCAAATAATTACCCATACTACTAAACTCTTCATACTAACAAACTATAATATGATGCTAAGAACTTCAACGTAAAATACAGATTGCATTGTCGGTGTCAAAAAGTTTTACATGTGCACCCGATGACGTGCTTCCACATTCTTTTTTTTAATAAAAGCTTCCACATCATTTAATGAGTTAAAATGCTCATTAAATTATGTGGCAGCAAATCATAGAATGAATGTGTAAACTATTTTATACAGACAATGTACATAAATTAAACTCTTATAATATTTACCAAAACTACATATAATAGCATTGTAACGGTTTCTTTTTTGTGGTGTGCAGGCGGTATAGTATAATACATCCTTATTTAAGGGGGAAAAACAGGAAAAGCATAATATTAAATTTATTCACATGCCTGTCAAAATAAAAGCCCTTTCCACATAAACGGCGAGCAGGAAAAACCATATAAAGACTACTAGACATTTTAATGGCTACTACATCAATGGTCTTGAAAGGGATAGAATTCTCAAACAAGCTATATAAATTTGAAATACATAAAAAGGTAATCAAATAAAAAGGAACGAAAAACTATATTACCTTCTAAGTTCTCCACGTCTGTTGATTGACAAACTGTTAGTACCCTATCCTGCGAAACAGAAATTGCAACTGTTATTATGCACTATTAGAAAATTGAATATCAGAAGAGTGAGTATGTATGGGAGTATGTTCGTATTTTCTGAACAATCAGGCTCGCCAAAAATTATGTGTTTCTTCAGTTTCAAGCTTCAATTTTGCAAGTTAGAGAATAATATTAATGTGTTATCCATATTGAGCTGGGCCTGTTACTAACTTACCAATCTAGTAATAAGTTTGTTATTAAATATTTATTTTCAACAAGAATTGTTACTCTGACTATGAAACAGTGTCTTGAACTCCATTCTAAAATTAGTACCTTCGGAAACTTGAATAATTTAGAATGAAGGACTAGTGCCAACATCAAACAACAGGGTTGTACCCTAAATGATTGGCAAAGATATCAGAGTAACAATATTAGCATTTCTGTTCGTTTCTTCATTGATTTCTCATGATGCCCTTTTATTAAGGGGGTGTCGAATGCTTCATTCCATGTATTTCTTTCTGTTAAATCGTTTCCCATTCTTCACCGTCTTAATACTAATAACTATAAATAAATAAATAAATGCTTACAGACTTTCAATCTCACTATTTTGGGAGTAAGCCCCACTAAATCATGTGGTTCCCACTATGTTTAGTAGGACCAATGTAAATTTCAACCAATAAAAGAGTGTGTTAGCATTACTCATTAAATTATTTTTCGACAAAAAAAAGGAGCTCACCCTTGCAGATATCACATAATTCTTTATTGTGTGAGTGCGAACTGCTAGATTTTCAGTAAACTCCTACAAGAAGACTCGTGTCATTTGAGACAGTAATAATGTTTCAATTTAGTCACATAACACCAGTATCCCTGCTACCTCACCTGGAATCCTATATGCAATCTTTTTCCTCCTCTGTGATAAGGAATCAAGACTGGACGTTTGCCAATGTAATCTTTGCAGACAAGTGGCTCTATCCTGTAAGTGAAATTAAAAATAGCATGTGATATCACGCATTTACTTTTTCATAAATTATACAGTATTGGAAAATAGAAAAGATTATCAAAATCACAGTCGATTTATAATCATTTCACATGCTGACATACACTAAAGAATTCTAGATTATGTAGCACTGAATATATTATTGAGATGTAATATATTATGTAACATAACACTCCTATTTATACTACTTGAGGAAAGACAGGCTCCATAACTGCCTCTGTATATTACTTTTCAATCTCTCGGGCTAAATTTTTGTTTCACTCCTTTATTTAAATTTAAATTATCGGTTACGTTTGCTAAACAGTATATATTTATTGAATTGGAAGTAAAGGCAAAATTGTAATGAAAATGCATATATAAAACATTGTATCGCCTTTATATATTGTTATAGACAATTAGGCCATGTATCTATTGCATTAAGACACATGGTTTTCACTATCTCATCTCATGCCTCTTTTTCTATTTCAACACAATATAAACATTAGTGTAGATGCTCCAAAGAGCACGATAAGAATTTAGTGAAGAGCCAGAGAATAAAAACAACTAGGAAAATCACGCGAATTGACCCGTGGCGAGAATTTATATTGTCTACTCATGTTGAATGGAACCTTTAAATGAATCGTGTAAGAGAAAAGATGATTTTTATTGATTGAATGAATTAGAACAAAAACGTGGGAAAATAATTCTTCTCCAAGCGTTTATCCTTTTACACCTAAACCACTGCTCGGTTTATGCAAAGTAACAAATCTGAATCTCACTCTTATTTAAGCTAAATTGCTCTTGTCTTGCTAACCTCTCTAACAAAGTAATCATTATAATTAACTGGTAGCTATGCTCTACTTAAATTAGTTGTAGCAAATTATCAATATTTAGGAACCTCTAACAGATATTGACTGCGAAAACTTCATTAGGGCTAGAGTTATGGTAAACCTGTATGCTACAGGATCAAAAGGGTGAAAAATGTTAAACATCTGACGACAAGCTGGCATTTCTTCACTAATATTTTCCTGTTCCCAATATTCTTGGCCTCTTCCTGGAATTAACAAGAAAGAAATTATCATCTTAGATGCATATAAAAAACTGGACATTTAAAAGTAACTGACATATAAAAGCTCTAACCTTAATTTAATAAAGTAAAACACAAATGAACATGAATTAATTTCAGAAGCACATAAAACCAAAACTGATCAAGTCATTAGCCTATTGAAGTCCAAGTTTTTCTTTATGGAAAAATAGATTATGTTAAAAAGTAGCAGAAGAAAGTGCATTATTTGGAAGAAAAGATACTAGCAGAAACAGAAAATGTAAAAGGGATCAGAAGAGCATAGGGAAATAAAAAATGCAACTGTTAGTTTCATGATTGTCCATGGTTCTATGGTTGGCTAAATTTTGGTAAAACATGATTCTGCACTAATGTTAAGAAAGATGTTATAACATCTATATCTGCTGTGGTGACAGAACTGTTGTCATGATGTCAAGACAGATGTCGTGACATCCATCTGCTGTTATGACAGTACTGTTGTCATGTGTTTTAATCAGGATGTCATTACCAATGTCATGACATTGCTGTCTGTACAGCAGGAGCTGATGACAGTACTGCTGTCGTGTGTTTTAATCAGGGTGTCATTACCAATGTCATGACATCGCTGTCTGGTACAGCAGGAGCTGCTATTTTATATCACTTGACAGAAGTGGTTTGGTTTGATGAGATTCTGTTGGATATATCTCATCAAGTGTGTGCAGGTCAAAGATATTCATAACATGAAAGTGCAGATTTAATTGGTGTTCATAAAAAGGATCTCTAAGACTTTTTAGGAAACCATAATATATTTGTTTCTACTGTTATGAAGAAGATTCTGCAGTAGTGTACTGCAGGGTGAGTTTGGTCAGCTAAGAACAAAGTGTGTTGGATGTCATGCTGGATGTTATGACATCAAGCGTATGACATCAGGGCGCGTGTTTAGGTTTACTGTTATATTGCAAGAGGAAGCTCAGGCTATACTTCAGGAAACCTGTTATGGCTCCTTAGTTATCTCAGGCGAGATTCTAGGCAGTGCTGAGCATAACATGAAATGCCTATGACCTATTTAAAAGCGCCTTGAATTATGGAAAGTGGTTTAACTTGGTTAAACCTAATTTATGACCAGCCCAAGCCCAGTCTGGAGTACTATTTAAGGAGGAGCAGAAGCAAGGGAAATCAAGCACTCACAACAAGAAAAACTTGAGTGTAAAATAAGGGTTTAGGGCTTTGAGAGTCTTTTGTGTGTGACCTTGTGAGTCACGCTTTGTATCTTTGGATGCATCGTGGTAGACATGTTTAGACTGTTATTTGTACAGTGTTAATTGTTCACTCAAAGCTTTTAAGCAAGAGTGTATTGTCCTTGATTGAAGCTGTTAAGCAAAATCAAGTATTGTGACTTTGAAGAGTGTCTTCTAAAGTCTTCTTTTGTATTGAATTGTTTATCACTGCTGTGATTGAGGGGGAGTGAGAGGTGTCTCTTGTCTAGTGGGTTCTAGGCAGAAATTGCATTGGGTGGAGATTAAGTGAGGGGTTGTAAACGGGGGAGTTTAGCTCTGAATTAATTCTGCTAATAGTGGATTTCCTTCCTGGCTTGGTAGCTCCCAGATGTAGGTGATGTTGCACCGAAATGGGTTAACAATTCATTGTGTTATTTATCTTTCAGCATTTTTAATTCTGCACACTTTAAATGGTTAGATAAATAGTTATGTCAGTCTGCAGATGTTACAACAGAGGTCATGACATTGTTAGTTTTGAAAGAATTTTAAAATGGTCATGTTCTGTCCTTGTTCTGTTTTAGCAGAGATCAATGTTCTTAGAATCTCTTGGGACATCTGAGATCTGCATACCAGAATTTCAGCAACAAAGCTGTCTAGCCTCAGATCACGCTGAATATCAAAAACTTTAATTGTCTCCAAATCAATTGTGAGAAGATTGCCATAAAGGAGTGGGCTTATATCCACCATATGATGTATACAGATTCACAAAATTGGGCTTATATCCACCATATGATGTATACAAATTCACAAAATATTATTTAATACTGCAAAAGCAATATTATAAAAGAGTCTCTTCAAAGAGATCTATCAAGATCATAAATAAATATTTTAATACTGTATAAAAGACAAGCTCAAAATTATTACCAACGCCAAGTCGGATATTGCGGAGTGCAAGAAATACACCTAGAGGGGATCCAACAGCAAAGAATGTATCAACCTGGAATAAATGCATTGTCAGTCATATGAGCAATAAGATATATACTAAGGAATTTGCAATGACCCTTTTTTGTAAGAGTTGGAGATGTTAAAAATATTAAAGGAAATGTATTGATAAAATCATGTAAGAGTTTACATTCTAGAAAGTGTAGTAGTTTTAATACCTTGAATAGAAGCTTTGTGTATTTGATATATGGAGTATAATGCTCTGTTGCATCTTGGATAGGAGGCAACTCTTGAGATAACTGTGGCACTGCCACATGCATGTAAACATCTTTAACTGCATTTTTGTTATATATTAGAAATCAAGATGAACATGGAAAAATGTCTCCAACTCTTTCAAGGACACAAACTAGAAATTACCAGAATCTACTTCTTCTTTGTTATGACCATCAACACATGATTCCAGATCATTTAGCTTGGCATTCAATGAATCAATCTAAACAAAAACAAAAATTGTCAGCTAAAGGCCAAGTTATAAAGGAAGTCATTGTTAGTAGTAAGGAAACTATTCATATAATAGTATTTCATTTCCATCACTCATATCAGTTCAATAATGAACCTTTTGTATGTAGTGTACACATACACACCAAACCCATTTGAATTACTGCTTCCCAGTATCTGTTGCAATATATTTATATATCCCATAGAATGGTGCACCCCGTATGCTATTTAACATGTTGGAAGCAAATTGATGGATAAGCCGATATTAGCTTAGCTGAATTAGTAAAATAGTTTCATGCAAATCATTCAGACAATTATATGAATTTTTCTTTTCACTGCGTCAACACTTCTCCCTGATCACCACTCACCAGTACATTTGAAGTTGTGGCCATGTATGTCATGTCATATCATAGGTTGAATCATGTCTTGTTGTGTAAATATAGGATTAGTCAAAGTTTGGTTAACTTCAAAATAATACTCTATTTCATAAAAACAATAGCTAATAATTTGCCAATTTTTGTGGTTATGACATAGGAAAGGGAAAGGTTACCCATCCAAAATGACTTATAGTACTTACAGATGGCCTACTGATGAAATATTACGAACCCAAAACATTTGAGTGAACACTACCTCCTAATAGCTGAATAAAATATTATTGAGAGCTTATTAATATAAACCGCTACCATTTTTTCTTACTGAACATCTTTATATATAAATATCCCCAATCTTTTGGCTCTTTCTATTCGGCTTTCCAACACATTTTCTTTGAGTTCCTTACAAAAGCATGCTGTCTTATTTTAAGGACTCTCAACTTGCCTCTCCCTTTGGAAGGGAAAACTTGGTGGAGAAGTCCATGAAAAAAAAAAAAAAAAAAAAAAGGTAAAATTGGAAACCAACCTCTTCCCGAAGCTTTTTGATTTCTTCATCTTTGTTGCTTGTACCATTACATTTTTCCTTATCCACTGGTAGCCCGAGATTCATATTCTCCAGTTTATCCAATGCACCCATTTTCTCAAAAAAAGTGTCGCTGGAATCAGAAACGCACTCAAAAATATCTCTCTGATTACTTGGGTTAACAGAATTATGTTCTGCAATAAAATTGTGTCCACTTGATAATGTAGGGCATAAAACTGAGGACTCCTCAGAAAATTCTGCCTCCATTTCTGAAGAACTCTGTTGTGTACTCTTCTTTTCACCAGAGAGGCTCTTCACACTCAACGTGTCATCCTGATTGATCAATGAGTGTTTGAAATAATTACTTTTCTCATCGGGGACTGGTTCCCCATTTTCACCATGTTCCTTGTACATCCAGTCCATTGGAAATGGGGATGACAGATTATTTTGATGGCAGAGAATATCATATGAGAGGACACTTCCCAGAGAATGACCATATAATGAAACCTACACAAAATTCTTTATAAAGTGAACCACCATAGATGTTAAAATGCATAGTGGAGAAAACGAAGCAACTTTTCCAGAACCATACCTTTCCATCATATCCTGGATTCCTCTTAAGAAATTTTTGATATAGTCGGTTCAGTTGGTTGGATACCTAGAGAAGTTTAAATTCACAGGTCAAAAAATGAACATTGTTTAATTCTCTATTAAAATATTAGTATAACATCTAAATATTCAAAGTAACCCATCCAAGTCAGAAAATGAAGAACATATGAATTCATTATGGACCTGGTTTTTAAAAACAGACAGAACTGCAGTGCAGTTATAAGCAAATGTAAAACGAAAAGTTGGTTTCTTTTTCTTCTTTTTTTGCAGTGTAGTTTTTACAATTGCAGAACAAGTGAGGATATAGGCATCGCATACAAGGAGGTTCCGAGAACTAAAACTCTTATCAGCCCTTAAAATGTGGAATTTAGGGCTTATGGAATCCATAGAATCTAGAGAAGAGTAAAGCAAGAATCAGCTAAACATTATGGAGGCTGAAGACCATCAAAGTTGTGCATTGTTGTTCTGTTTCCCAATTTTTTCTAATAAAATACCAAGTTACTATCAAAATCTATGCGGCTAAATGAGGTGGGCTAGCAACCATCCAAACTTTTCGAATACTGCCATTTATCGTAGGATTGTAAGTGAACTGCCTCTTTATGTTTCCTAATTTCATTTATTTTCTTTATATGATCTTTGTGCAACGCAGATGTCAAAATTGAAAATCGAGAAAATTAGGCAAGGATTGAAACTATCTGATGACTATTTTTAAGGAAGATTTGGAGAAACAATGGAAGCAGTAAACACTGGCACACACACTCTTACCGAGTTAATTATGTCTTGACAGTAGATTGGGCTCATGTAGTACAACACATCATGAACAGTTGCACTAAGTGTGACACGTAATCCCCGCACTCCATCCAAGGTTATTTTCTCAACAGTCGTTTCACCACTAAGCTTCAAACCTTTCCTCCACTACATACCATGAAATCATCAATTAATTAATAATTATAGGAAAATAAGGAAAGATTATAACATTAGAAAACACAACACCTGAAGGTATAATAATAAGGCTTCAGCCAAAAAATTAGTATGCTCTTTAGTTCTTGATTGAAGCATTTGTTTGGAGCAAAATGTCAGAAACACGCTACAACAATTTCAAAGTATTTCTCTTTGGCCTTAAACAGGCTGTGTGACTGGATAATGTACATGCTCTTTGGCATTCAAATTCTGAATGTATAAATTTATAAAAGGAAATGCTCTTTCTAACATGATGATAGACAGTGCAGCATGCTACAAGAGAGGATGTGTCATCTTTTAAAAATAAACAAATAAATTTAAAAAATTGGGGAAAAATAAAATAGAATATGCTGAATGAAGCTCCTTCCTTCTGATATGAGACATGTTTACTGGCTGATGCAAGGACAGAATATTCTATTTGATTGTTGTTAGTGTTAGTTGTGTGTTTTTTTGCTTATCTTTTTTATCCCTTGTAACCAAAAAATAAAAGTAAAATATACTCTAACTTTGTAAGATTTCCCAGTTCATAGTTCATACTAAATTCCAATTCTACAGAAAACAATTTCAGCATTTAGCATATAAGTTGCCCAAATTGTCACATCAATTTTAGTATCAATAATGCATGTTTCCAGGAAACAAAAATGTAACCACACCATAAACACTCAAAATTGGTAAGAAAGGAAAGCAAGTGAAATTGACAAATCTTCACAACTCCTGAAGAGATTTACAGGAATATCAAGGGATTTGATGCAAGTTTCTCAGGTTATAGTTAAGAAAAAGATCTATGGATCAAATCAATAATACATATGGCCATTCAATCACTACAAATTAGCACACAATAAGTATTAACTTTAACCAAATAAAAAATAAGGTCCAATGAGCCAAAATGGAACGCCAGGGGTGAGACACGGCTCAATTTTACAGTGAAGGTATACACTGCAAAAGGCCTTCAAACAGAAGAAGAACAGAAGCATTATAAAAGACTCAGAACACATAAACAGGGAAGAAAAAGACGAGATACCTGGCATGGGATATAGAGGACCCTTTGAGTGCCAAGTTGGTGTGAAGTAAGGTGCTGCTCTGCAAGACTTGCTGTAATATGGCGAAAATTGCCCACATCGTCAACCAAATTAGATTTTTCCAACCTCTGCCCAATCCCATGAACCATAAATACCAAATGTCGAACAGGCACCTACAAACAATATGCAATTGATATCAAGCAAAAGTGAGGGTGGGGACAGCTGTACAGTATGATCAAATTCAGTTTCTTGAAATAGATAAAATAAAGAGTTCCAGGTTTCAGTAAAAACTTATGGAGACTCGTAGAGAGCATAAGGCGACTAGAGTCTATAAACTATAGTATAACTATAATGATGATCATAACCTGAATTTGTGGTTACATACCTGCGAACAGTAATCATCCATTTCCTCCTCCTTCTTTTGCCTTAATTCATCCTATTAGAAGTTACATGTTAGTACAAATAAAACGGATCTGCAATCTGCACTTACATTCTTCAAGAAAGGAGTGCTTCATTTATTCAACAACTACATGCATTATGATATCAAACACAAATCAAAATGGAATTTAGTTTACCACAAAAACTGTTAGATATCTGAATATTTTGTATTATGTAAATAGAATATTCTGTAAGTAATTAGGATATCGTGTAAATAGGAAATAGAATATTATGTAATTACTATGACATTTATTCCTCCTATTATATATAATGAGCTCCGATGTGTAATTCAAACACACGGATTCAATCCAACTTTCCTCTTGTTCTCTCATTATTCAACATGGTATCTAGAGCCTAACAAGAGGCAACCCTAATCCGTGTTTTCCCGGTAGACCCACTGTCTATCGGCACCAAAAAAAAAATTTCGGTAACCGTGCTTCATTTCCGGTTTCCGAATTCTCCCGCGGCCGCCTCTCGTTTCCTCGGATTTACACTTGTTTCGTACCTTTAGGCTTCGACATGTTCTAGATCTCCATATTCCCTCTCAAATCTACGGGTTTTTGGTCACTTCTCTTACCGTCTTTGGAACCCATGGCTGCCAATCTCCCTCCAAGGGCTGAGGCCCCTATTTTCACAAGTTACATCACTACTCCTCTTGCACGTTGACAAACTGGACGGTACTAACTATGATTCTTAGGCTTCCGACGTCAAGTTATGGCTCCGGGGACAAGCCTATGAAGATCACCTCACTACGAAGGTTGACTTGGTGGCTGCCACTGATAGTGCTCGTTGGAAGAAAATTGATGCCCAACTCTGCAGTCTCATTAAGTCGACCATTAGTCCATCCTTAAAACAGATCTTTCGCTCTCATGAGACTTGCGAGTCTGTTTGGGCACAGGCTAAGATCCTTTATACCAATGATATACAACGCTTATATGGAGTATGTAAAAATTTGCAGAATATTATTTCCCCTCGTCGCCTGGATGGTTCTATGGCTGAATACTTGGGCCGTGTTCAAGGCCTCCTTCATGATTTCAATGAATATTATTTCCCCTCGTCGCCTGGATGGTTCTATGGCTGAATACTTGGGCCGTGTTCAAGGCCTCCTTCATGATTTCAATGAATTGTTGCCCCCAGCTGCCACCACTACTAAGGAACTTAAGCAACGCCGATCCTTCTTCATGCTTCTGGCTATGTATAGCTTACCTCCAGAGTATTCGTCTGTTCGTGATCAGATATTGGGATCTCCTACAATCCCCACTCTGGATACTGCATGGTCTACCTTGCTACGTGTCCCAGCAAAATCATCATTTGACGGCGGAGTGGCACCCACATCAGTTGATTCATCTGCTTTGTTTTCTCAGGGAGGTAATCGTGCTCCAGGTGGTGATCGCGGCCACTTTTAGAAGACAGGAAAGCCTCGTCCTAAGTGTGATCATTGTCATAAGCTTGGTCACACTATTGATCAGTGTTATGCTTTACATGGACGTCCCTCTCCTCAGACTGTCCACGTTGCCCAGACTGCTCCACCTCCACAACTCCGACCGATTCTGCCACCTCACCTACTATCTTCAACGACTTTATCAAGTGATATGAGGGCCGTCAGGCCGCTAGTTCCACTGCCTCTGTTGCGCACACGGGTAATTCTTTTGCTGGTCTCTCTCACTCGACATCTATTGGCCCATGGATCCTTGATTCAGGCGTCGGTGATCACATTACAGGTAATAAATCTCTTTTTCTTCATTCTCTACTTCCAGATTATTACCCTTTGTCACATTAGCAAATGGCTCCCAAACTCAATCTCAAGGTACTGGTACTATCCACCTTTTTCCCTCGCTCTCCATTACTAATGTACTTTATGTACCCGGATCTCTGTTTAACTTATTGTCTCTAAGTCGTTTGACTCGATCTCTTGATTGTACTATCTCATTCACCAAAGATTCTTTTTTCTTGTAGGACCGGAGTTCGAGACGGATGATTGGCACCGGATGTGAGTCTAATGGTCTTTATCTTCTTCAACCATCTGCACAGGCTGGTTCTGTGGTGGATTCTCCTCTCCTGGTTCATGCTCAGTTAGGACATCCAAGTCTTGCAAAGTTACAAAAGTTGGTGCCAAATCTTTCCAAGTTATCTACGTTGACTTGTGAGTCTTGTCAGTTAGGAAAACATGTTCGTAGTTCTTTTCCGAGTCGTGTCAATCGTCGGTCTAAGTCTCCGTTCGCTCTAGTTCATTCGGGTGTTTGGGGTCTTAGTCGCATTGTTTCCACTTTAGGGCCTAAGTATTTTGTTACTTTCATCGATGATTATTCTTGATGTACTTGGTTATTTTTAATGGAAAATCGATCTGAGTTATTTGCTATTTTTCAAACATTTTATAATGAAATCAAAAATCAGTTTGGTATTTCCATTAGTACTTTGCACAGTGACAATGCTCGAGAATATTTATCTACTCAATTTCAAACTTTCATGGCTACTAACGGTATGCTTCATCAAACGTCTTGTGCTCACACACCACAACAAAATGAAGTCGCTGAACGTAAAAATAGACACTTAATTGAAACCACTAGGACACTCTTACTTCACAATTATGTTCCTCAACATTTTTTGGGTGATGTTGTCCTTCTGGCTTGTTATCTCATAAATAGGATGCCATCCTCTCCTCAACAACCAGATCCCTCGTTCTATTCTATTTCCTCACCAGTCTCTTCACTCCTTACAACCTAGAGTCTTTGGGTCTACGTGTTTTGTCCATATGTTAGTCCTGGGCTAGACAAACTCTCAGCTCGTTCTCATAAGTGTGTGTTCTTAGGCTACACAAGATCCCAAAAGGAATATAAATGTTACTCCTCGTCTCTTCATCGATATTTCGTCTTTGTTGATGTCACATTCTTTGAGTCAGTCCTCTACTTTGGGCCGTCTACAGGGTCCGAGTCCCCATCACCCATGTTTTCTTCATCTCCCACTACTGCCCCACCAAACGTAGCTTTGTCTCTTTTGCCAGCCAATCCACCCCCTTCAGCTCCTTTGCAGGTTTATCAGCGTCGACCACGGCCACCACCACTACCATCAACTAATGCAGGAATCACCATAGACTCCCCTCCGGATCCAATTCCTTCGTCCTCTCCGGCCCTGCCGCCTGAGACTGATCTCCCAATTGCACTTCGCAAAGGTATACGTTCCACTCGTAATCCATCTCCTCATTATGTTAATTTGTCTTATCATCGCTTGTCTTCTTTGCATTATGCTTGTATTTCTTCTTTGTCTTTTGTGTCTATCCTAAGACTGTAGGTGATGTTTTATCTCACCCTGGCTGGAAACAAGCTATGCTTGATGAGATGTGTGCTCTTCAAAACAATGGCATGTGGAACCTTGTTCATCTTCCTCTTGGGAAATCTGTTGTAGGTTACAGGTGGGTTTTCACAGTCAAAGTTGGGCCTGATGGACAAGTTGATCGTCTCAAGGCACGTTTAGTGGCCAAAGGTTATACACAGATGTTTGGCCTAGATTATGGTGACGCCTTCTCTCCCGTGGCTAAAATGGCCTCGGTTCGATTATTTCTCTCTATGGCAGCTATTTGCCACTGGCCCCTTTACCAGCTTGACATCAAGAACGCGTTCCTCCATGGTGATTTGTGTGAGGAAGTTTATATGGAGCAATCTCCTGGGTTTGTTGCTCAAGGGGAGTCTTCTGTACTAGTTTGTCGTCTTCGAAAGTCTTTGTATGGTCTTAAGCAATCTCTTAGGGCTTGGTTTGAGAGATTTAGCATTGTTATTCAACAGTTTGTTATGACGCGATGTGAAGCTGATCACTCAGTGTTTTATCGTCACTCAGCTGTTGGGTGTATTTACTTAATTGTGTATGTGGACGACATTGTCATTACAAGTAATGATCATCATGGAATCACACAGGTAAAACAACACCTTTGTCACCATTTCCAGACAAAAGACCTCCGCAAACTTCATTATTTCTTGGACATAGAGATTGCTCAATCCAAACAGGGGATTGTAATTTCACGAAGGAAGTATGTTATGGATATTTGGAGGAGACAGAACTGTTAAATGCCAAGTCAGTTGACACTCTGATGGATCCCAATGCTAAATTTATGCCAACTCAAGGGGAGCCACTCTACGATCCTAAAAAATATAGAGGATTAGTTGGAAAGCTGAATTACCTTACAGTTACTCGCCCAGATATTTCATTTCCTGTTAGTGTGGTAAGTCAATTTCTTAACTCTCCTTGTGAAGGGCATTTGGGAAGCTGTGATTCGCATCTTAAAATATATCAAAGGAGCTTCAAGAAAAGGCTTACTTTATGAAGACAAGCGACACACTTAGGATACTCAGATGCAGATTCAGATTGTTCTCCTTCTGATAGAAGATCCACCATTGTCTTTTCTTGGGTGGTAAATTAATTTCCTGGAAGAGTAAAAAACAAAGTGTAGTGGCAAGGTCAAGTGCGGAGGCAGAATATCGAGCCATGGCAACAACAACCTGTGAGCTTATATATGGCTCAAACAGTTGCTTCACGACCTGAGATTCGGGGATGTTTCACAGATGACACTTATGTGTGACAATCAGGCAGCTCTGCATATTGCATCAAATCCAGTGTTCCATGAGAGAACCAAATACATTGAGATTGAGATTGATTGTCATTTCATCAGAGAGAAGATTTTATCTGGAGATGTCAGCACTAGTTTTGTCAACTCAAATGATTAGTTAGCTGATGTTTTCACCAAGTCTTTGAGAGGTCCTCGAGTTAATTCTATTTGTAACAAGCTTGGTGCATATGACATATATGCTCCAGCTTGAGAGCTTGAGGGGGAGTGTTAGATATCGGAATATTCCGTATTATATAAATAGAAATTCTGTAAATAATTAGGATATCGTGTAAATAGGAAATAGAATATTATGTAATTACTATGACATTTATTCCTCCTATTATATATAATGAGCTCCGTTTGTAATTCAAACACACGGATTCAATCCAACTTTCCTCTTGTTCTCTCATTATTCAACAAAAACAATTTAAACATATAATATTGTTATACCAAAAACAATAAAATTTGACTATTCCCATTGTTATTGTTATTAATGGACATATATTTTGTAATTATACTAATAATTAAATTCGTTCTGTTAGTTAGGTATAATGTAGTCTATATAAGTGTAGTAGTGTCTGCACTCTAGATATTTTAAACAGTACTCATATTTTTACACATGGTCTCACGAGCTCTAAGTCTTGATGGCCTTGTTTCCGTGCAAAACCCTAGTACCTCCAATGTGGTTCCCTTTTTTGCTGCCTTCATAGCAGCCCTTGGGATCTTCAATGTTGGCTGTAGCCCATTGTCAGCCATTTTCCCCAAGATCACTGTCCAACACTGTTGGGAGGTGTTGACCATCGTTTGCCGCTGATATACCGCTAAAATTTCACAATCAAGTGATGCTGCCATTTCATCCAGTCTTATTGGTCGATGTCACCCACACCTGTGTCCTTTTTGGGGGTCAACATCATGTTCTGAAATTATCTTTTCTGTAGCCAGGCATTTTGTCATTTGGTTGTTCTATTTTAGATGGCAGCAGGCAATAGCTCCGCCTCCAGTCTAGATCACATGGCCTCCACTAAACCCTAATGGCCTTATTAGAATTTGAGATGGGCCTAACCAAACATTACGAGACCCACTTGTTTTGTGAGAACTGCCCTACTTATAAACAGTGTGTCTTTTCCCTCAATGGAAAAACAACACTAAGCAAGAAAGTCTCACAGTCACCAAATATTACGGAATTCTCAATGGACTCTTGTTTGACTTGGATCAGTATCAGCATAGTAAAATGTGTATTAAAAAATCAAAGATAAATATTATCAGTATCACCATAGTTATCATTGCTGAGTATGATGCAGCTCCTAATTTTATATAATAAAATCTGTACTAAAAATAACAGATAAATATGGGTAAAAGGGATATTACTATGCCAATACTCTTGTATGCCAATATATAAACAAGCTTTCAAAGTCACGAGAAATACATAAGATACAATTACAAAGCAAAATTAGGATCTATTGTCCATATCAATCTTTAGAAAGATTGAAGAGTACTCTAATGGCAGACTATCTCTACATTATAGCACTAATTCGTGAGGGGGGAAAGAAACCTGGGTTGGTTTTGGCGAATTTGATGGGGAATAACCACGTCTTAGTTTGATTCCACTTCTACTAAGACTCACTAAATTAGAAAAGCCAGAAGCATCAACATTTAGCCAGGCTTCCCATGTATCATCTTCTCCTGTGAAAAGGGCATGCAGGCCCTGCATGTTCAACATCAAAACACAATAGCACACCAGGTATTAAAATGCAAAACACACTCTATCTATAAAACAATCAAATAAAATAAACAAAACAAACAAATAACATATCATCATTGTCAAAATAATCTGCTTACTTGGGTGGAGCCTTGCAAATCAACTCGAGCAGCAAAAAGTCCCGACAGTTGAAATGTTCGTCTGTGCCAAACCTATATAAACCGGTCAAAATATTTTTTTTGCATTCTGAAGCAAAAAATGAACGCAAATTGAAAACTGGCTATTCTCTTCCCTGCCCTAACCTAACCCCCCAAAGAGGATTTAAAATGCTAAACTAATACGTGAGACCCAGAGATAAAATTATCATCTAAATAACAGTACCTAATCATATGTGTAGTTGCTTAGCGGTTAACGTCGGCTTTTTCAATAACAAAAAAAAGACCCAAATTTGGAGGAAAAAGGAATGGTTTTGTGAAATTCTAAGGACAGTGCTCTTTGGAAATGCAATATTTGATGCACACCACTAAAGAGGATGCTAACATTTTCAGATACATCTACTGGTACGTCTTTTATGAGAAATTTGATGAAAAAATTGAGCAAGAATCAAACTACTAATGTATATTTTGAATTTTATGTCAGAATCATGTATACAGCTAGTCATTTGTAAGATTGTAGCAATGATTTCTATATTAAAAAATGTACTTTGAACAACTATACATACCTGACTACGATAAGCAATCTCTAGTTGCTCAGCAACATCTTCGCGAATTGGTAACCAGTCGAGGCCCCCTTTACGAGCAAACCAATGGCCTCTTAGAACACGTCGATTTTCTCCATTCCAATAAACAGGGAAACAATGTCTTCTAACCAAATCTACCTGTATTGATGAGCATCACATCCTTGGAAAGAAGTTCCCAATTTATTTCTTTTTAATGTAATGATAAGCATTCCATCAAATTATGAAAATGTTCAACTTTGATGTGCTTAGAAACAACAGTTCAAATATCCTTAGAATTTAAAAGTGTACGCAATAGATAGTAAGATTTAAAAATAAGAACTATGATCACAACACATTTTCTTTTATTGGTTAAAGTTCATGAGTACCACAAAATTTATATGGGATCCACATAATTTGGGGGGTCCATATGAATTTTAACCAATAAAAGTGTGTGTTGCTAGCACTTTTCAACACATTCTCTTTAATTGTTAAAATTCATATCGGTCCACCAAATTTATATGGGACCTACATGATTTGGCGGGATCGGTATGAATTTAACCAATAAAAGTGTGTTAAAAAATGTGTATTAAAGAATGTGTTGCTAGCACCGATCAAATAATAAATAATTGCATAAGCACTTCATCTTCCGATGTTGTTGAAAAATCTATGAATGCTGTTAGATAGGATCCTGTATCAAATCTAACTAGCGAATATACAGAAAAGGCAACAAAGATTCACGTGTGAAAAAAAAAGTTTGTCTTATGGGAAGATGATCTAAAAACACAGATATTTGTACAGCTCAGCGGTCAAACTTTTAACACCCAAAATTTCATCTACAAATCAGCCTAGAGGTGGAAGAATTAAATAATGAACTATTACATGGAAAACAACTTCAAGCTAAATGTGCTAAGAAAAGACAGAAAATTAACGATTAACATTGTTAGACTACTGGGAAAAGATGACACAAAATATAAAACAAGTACCTCGTAGAGTCCTCCCTTCACAGGAACCCCAACTCTCTCTTCATCAGATTCACAAAATTGATGTTTATCTAACTTGCTACTGGAACTTTGTTGTTCTCTCGGTCCTTCACTACACTCTGCATATTCTCTCCACCAACAAGAAAGCAATTCTTCCTCTCTCTATGAATAAACACAAACAAAAAATCTCACAATCTAAAGGTCACCAAAGCCACGATTAACATCAAGATAAGCACAAGAATTTAACCTAGTATACATTTCATGAAACAACCTGCAAGAAAGATGCTTCAATTGCTAGAGAATCTCTCATGCCAAATCGAAAATAGCCACTCTTCCCCACTATCTCTGTGCTTGGGACCGACGCTGCCAATTCTGCAACAGAATAACAAAAAAACTCATTCAAGATGAACATAGACCAAAACCCAGAAAATATGATTCCTCTGATCCACTAGTCCTGTGAGGATCACAAACAAAAAGCTTTAGTAAATCTAATGAACTTCCTAAATCATACATGTCTTCGTGAACTCAATACAAATATAAGTCCATTTACTACTAATACAGAAGGAGGAAGGAAACTTTCCCCGCCCTACAACAACAACAACAACAACAACAATCAAGCCGTATCCCACTGAGTAGGATTGACTACATGGATCAACTTCCGCCATATTGTTCTATCCAAGACCATGCTTCTGTAGTAACTTTCTCCTTCCTAGATTTGTATTTTCAGATGACATAACTTGGCCGAAAGTGTACTTCCAAACAACACAAAATATGTGTTTTTTTCATGTGTACACAAGAAATCATGTTCAGGGTGCATAAAGTTTCTCATAATACATAACCCAAAGCCAAACCAAGCATAAGGCAGTTCAAACCCTTACTTAATGCCACCAGCAAAAAAAACTTATTTGCCATCGGTCTTTGAAAAACATTCACACTTAGTCGCAGGGAACACATTTCAATCTTTAATTGAGCAAAAACCATATTAAGATTCCGTAAGCCCTAACTTTTGATTTACTCTCATTTAAGATCTCACTTCAACATATCATACACTACTCATGTAAGCTACATATAGATACATATATCAATAGGTACTCAAAAGCACACAAAAGACTAAGCAAATTTCATATCTCATATAAGCTCAACAAAGGTTTTAAACTACCGATCCCGATTGATTTGACCTTAACTAAATCTGATTAAGTAATTACTTGAATCCGACCACAATTGGTTCGACTTTAACTGAGTCCGATTAAGTAACAACTTGAGTCCAACCACTTGGTTGAGCAAAATAGAGGTTAATCATTAATGAAGTAATTTAAAATTGAATTGGTAAAACTAAAGGTATATCCACACAAAAAAAGCCTACAATACATTGATAGGTTTAGAATTGATGGATAATAGATGCATACCATTAGGTGCCAAAGAGGTTTTACAAAAGTACCAACGAACATCACCGCCATCAGAAGGACTAGTTGTTTGAGCGAGATACTTATGCCTTGCTTTAGAATGTTCAATCACATCTTCCAATCTAGCAATATTGGAAGGCGTGTTTTTGAGCAAGTCAGGAAGAAGGCTAGGGGTAGATGCTTCTTCCACCCCTTCCGCCATTTCCAATCAACAAAGCTTCGATTCCTCTTCTTGGATGGTTAATTAATCAATGTAATTGTTCGGAATTGGACTTGGATTTGGATTTAGGTTTAGGTTACGTGACTTGAAGAACACGAATTGAATTGAAAGAAAAGAAGGAAGAAAGGAATGAAGGATTTGAGAAATGTGAAGAATGGTAGGAATGATGATTGCATGCGTTGAATTGAATGTCAGGTGAAATTCAATGGATGCACCGTTGGCTGGCTGTTCCGAAAATCATATAATCGCACTTTCTCGCAATTCTATATTTTTCAATTTTGATCCTTTAACTTTTTCTGTGTTCATGTTCTTTGTTTTTCTTTAATAATTTACGGAAATTATAATATTTTTAAGATTTATGATAGTTACACCATAGATGGAGTAAATTGAGAATAAATAATTAATTTAGCTCGTGTATTATTGGTCATTCTAAATTAAGAATATTTTTTTGGTGTTAGAATATTCTGGAATAAATGTATGAGATCTCAACTTGTTCAAGCATTGATTTTATTTAATATTTTTTATAAAACATTTTGTACAATTAAGATTCTTGAATTTAGATTTTAAGAGATTTATAAAATGAATTTTTAAGATTTTATAGTATTTTTTTAGATTTAAATAAGAAATAAAAAAATTTTAAATTTTGACTGAAGTAAAATAAAATTGATAGAATTTAAATCTTTTATTAACAAAGTAGAATCTACTTAGTAGATATTGTCTAAAAAACTGATAACTTCATGTTATAAGTAGTATTTTTCCTCATATTTGAATTTATAATAATCATATTTATAAATTAATATTTTCTTTTTCACCTCTTTCATTTGAAAAATAAATTATAATTATTGCTTATGAAAAATGTTAACGTCAAACGTAATGATTTGACAGAAAATTCATCAAAAATTGGTTATTTTAAAATGATATTTTTAGTTGTCAAAAATATAATTACAATGTAAAGGAAAAAAGGTTGATGCACCGACCCTAAAACAAAACAATCAATGACCATTAAATTATATTAAAAAATTTAAATTAATTAAATAACATAGTAAAATGATACTCCTTCTGTTTTTTTTATAAGTCGTGTTAGACTTTTTACAGATACCAAAGAAGTTATTAACTTTTGCTAATTTTGTGAATATATTGTAGGGTATTCCAATATTATTTTTTTTAAAAACACTCAAAATCTCTTGTTTCAAAATATACCAGATTAATCATTATGATTTGTCGATGGAATATCTAAATTGCATTTATTCCAATATATTTCATGAATAAAATATTAAATTAATTAAATTTATACGTGTCTTTTTCTATCCTACACTAATTCCTTATTTTTCTCCCTCCTAAATTTTCCATCACTCGCCAAAAGATACTCTAAAGCACTTGGGAGAAAAAATTAAGATTTTTTTTGTTAAATTTTTCCCTCCCGATTCTTATGGATCTTCATTAATTTTTTTTCAAATTTTTTTTTATTATGATAGGAAGAAGGATTAAAAAATGCACAATATATAAAACTTGAGAATTCACATTGAGTTTTGAAAAAATCACAAATTAATATAGAGTTTTATGAGAGGAAGACTTTTTCTATAAAAAGTGCATTGGAATACAAGATTCACTGAATTATGAAAATTATAGTATATTTTTTAAGTGTGTATGGATGCACTAACCATTTAATATAAATCAATCTATTTTTAAAAAGGTTCATGCACTAACCATTTAATATAAATCAATCTATTTTTATGGTTATGGTTTATAAATCAATCCATTTTTATAATTATGGTTTATAAACCAAATTATTTGTTCTAAACCGGTTTAAAACCGATTCTAAATGTATTTTGATTTTAATTTAAATTATTTAGTTAAATTTAAATTTAATTTTCTTTAAATTATATTAATTTTTAAATTTAAATACTTAGATTTTAATATATATTTTCTTTGAAAATAAAAATTTTATAAAAAAATCTAAAAATTTAAAAAATTAAAAATAAAATTGATAATAAAAAATTTCAGCAAATTATATAAACTTAAAATAGTAACTAATATGTTATAATACATATATTTGTATATTTCAAAACATTTATTTATTTTAGGAGAAATCTATAATATTTATAATCATTTTTTCATAAAACTTTAATGGTGTTTCAGATTTATAAATGAAAACTAAAGTCAAATCCAACAAATCAAAATTTGATATATTTTTTTGCACATGTCAAATCAAACTCGATACACTAAGATCTATATAAGAGCATTTTTAGTGGGAGTATCTTAAGTGGATAAACTAAGATATTTTTTGTGGGCACAAAGTGATTTGTAGAATTTAAAAAATTTATAGTTGATTTAAGTTATTTTTAATTTAATGATACTTGCTTATGAAAAACTAAAACTTGACCCCATATTTTATATTTTTTAGTTGTAATTATTTTTTTATTAAAATTATCATTAATTTAATTATTTTAAATAAAATACATAAAATATTCATTATTTTTTTAAAAAATATATTAATTATTAAAGTTGAGAAAAGTACTTTAATAAATTTTGCCCAAAAAAGTTGTAAATAATAAAAATTGTATTTTATTATAAAATTAAAAATGATATAAAATTAACAACAATAATACATAAAAAATTACATTTTCATAAGAATATAAAATAATACATGAAAATAAACAACAAATTAAACTTTAACAGAAATACAAAATAAGACAAAAACTAACTTTCATTATTCTCATGACCAAATCTCTCCCAAATATGCTCCATTAAGTCTGCTTGAAGTTGATGATTGTAACACCCCAGTCTAACCCGACGGATAATTAAGGAAAACAGAATCAGAGTGCAACAAATTTTGTAAACATGACGGTCGTAAGGAAGTTGTGACAACCGTCACATCAGCAAATTCTGGGCGTTACAATTTCAACTCATAGAAACATACATTTCACAACTCAATTAGACATCACGCATTTAGTAATGATACATAGCACAGAAGCCTGGATGAACATACAACAATAACTTGATTTACATTTTGATTGCAAGGCATCTTATTAATTTGCAGCGGAATATAAAATATTTCCAACATTTAGCATGATTAAAGCAAGACCATGAAACTTGCAACAAAACTCCATTAAAATTCAGCGAGTAATTATCTTGCATCAATTCAACATAAACAACAAGTTTCAACCATAAAAATCAGCACTACTAATTCATCGGTATAGTGCATCCAACCAACATTTGGCACTTAACAGCAGCCGTCAATTTAATAAAAAATACTTGATAAAATTCAGCAATAAGGAAATTAAATAAAAGCAATAACATCAATCGTTCATCCCCCCAAGAGTGTTACGTATCAGAGCGACCAACAACTTTAAACGGAAAGCTACACTTATTCCGGATTACCTGCAAATTACCACCAATGGAGGTAACACACAACGTAAAGGGTGAGATATCAACAACATAACATAAGGCATGATAAAAGTCATGTCAGAATATTATCACAGCATTATAATTCTAGCAGTTCGCATAAATATTAGTAATAATAAACTACAACCACCCTTTATTCATAACCACAACAATTATCATCATATCTCAGCAACTCATCAAAACAACTCAACAACGCAACTCAATAATGCGACTCAACAATGCAACTCAACTGTGCATATGCATGTGGTACCATTTTGAGAGACACACTCCACAATAATTCAGGAGACAACTCTCCACAATAATTCGGGAGACAACTCTCCACAATCATTTTATTTTGTCATTAAAGACACAACCGTCGCCAATCCAGGCCAAATGATATGCTATGAGATGCAACTATTATGGACTATAACACAACAACAACAACTGTGCAACAACTGTGCAACAAGGCATCACGCCTACAACCAATTATCCATAACAGAAACATCACATTTCGCATACATCAGGTACTCACCACTTCAATCTGTTCATATAGAGAACTACCAACAGTATCGTTCCTACGAATAAGACTTTAACACATTTTTGCAGAGAACAATTAAAAACAACCTCGTCTCTACAATTGAGAACTCAACACCATTTTTCATGTCAGAGAACAACTGACAACATCATTACTACAAATAAGAACTCAACACATTTTCATATACCTTCATACGGGTAATATAACTACAACTTACCCACATAATCCAAGGAGAATATTATAATAACATTTTCTCAACAGTGACATAACAACTTCATATGCATCAAGTATTCATCATTTCAATCTGTTCATGTAGGGGAACAATAACAACATACTTTCGACAATTAAGAATTCAGCACATTATCGTAAGAACAACATTACAACTTTTACTCACTAAATTAATTATAGTTCCTGAAAAGGTTCGTTAACTACGGGGCAACTAATCTTGCCTCATTAAGGGCAACCATACAACATCGTACAACATCGACGATATAACACATTCATTCCTACACAGAAAAACCTTGTCCCTAGCATTTATCGAGTAACGGGAACTATATCTATGATTCAATTCCCTACCTGAAGTCGATCAAGTAAGAGCATAATAACAACCTTTTCTCAACAAAAGGGAAATTAGCGCGTGTCAGCGCCGATTCCCAACATTACTACATAAACTAATGACATAAACACTAATGCAGGCGTAGACAAACATTAACCCTTAATATTTCTCAACCTACGGAAACATTTACCCTTAATATTGCCCAACTTACGGGAACATTACTACGAGAATATTACTACGGGAACATTACTACGGGAATAGTTCCACGAGAATATTACTACGGGAATAGTTCCACGGAAATACTACTACGGGAACATTACTCCTTAATATTTATCGATCTACAGGAACATTAATCCTTAATATTTATCGATCTACAGAAACATTAATCTTTAATATTTATCGATCTACAGGAACATTAATCTTATGATTCCATACCCTTCATGAAATCCATCATACCCACAGTTATAGAATTGAACCCCACTCTTACCTTTGGAATTGAGGTCAACT